AAAAAAAAAAATTTAATAGTAATTTTTATATGAGACTATACATATATTTGATCTACATAGTACATTGGATACCCCAATGCTACGCATGCAATAAGTGCCGTATCAGAAGCCTAAAATCTTAATTTGCGTTCTTGGAATTCCGAGGGGGTTCCAAAGTGCTCATTAAGATTTTAGACTTCTGATACTTGACGTATTTTATGTTTGATATTGATTGTTAAATAATCCGGCCGTACCGGCTGGATCACTAGTCAATCAAGATCGTCCATAAAATACTCCTCTTATTGCATGCGAAGCATGCAATAACTATTTAGTATTTCCTTAAAATACAAAGAGATGATCTGATTTGAAAATGACCTTACAGGACATAGTAAATCATATGATCCAAATTTGATTTTCAAGGCAAAGACCCCATATAATGCGGACGGTCCTTCTGGCCATCTGTATCCTATGTTCTCAGGAATCTCTGCTAGCTCCTAAGAAAGTCGTAATTATAATAAGTTACGGTATATTTGCCATAACTCATTAAAATTACAAGTTACAGCATTGCTCTCACACTTCTAAGATTGAAAAACAAAAGGGAAATCAAAAGTTCTTCATATAATCGGTGTCTAAAATTCAATTTTAAATTTTATTGCGGGTTCGCAACTTAATAAAAAAACCAATTTGCGGAATAAAGAAATTTGGTTGCGTGATAACGAAATTTTTTGTTGAGTTATAAATATATAATCAAAACATATACACATTTATATGCGGAAACCGCATACAAATTTCAGGTTTTAATTGCGGCGCGCAAGCTCTGCAACTCAATTTCAGACATTGCATATAATAAATATGTCAAAAATTAAAATAAAATAGAAAATAAACTCATACTCCTTCAAAGTCGCCAAGTTTATTCTCCAGAAAAAAAAACACTCGTATGAGCGTAAATGGAAAATAAACCATACTCTTCCGGAGTCACCAAATTTATTCTCTAAGAAAAAAAATATATCAATTGATATCCACTCTAAGTCTGTCAAACCAGACATTTGACAGTCTATGCGCATATGTTTCAACATACGCTGAGTTATGTGCCAAAAATTACAGAGAAGATACCGGAAAGAATACCAAACGCGTTTAAGTATCTAGGGAAATTTCAAAACACCATACACGTCGAAAATATTCAGAGAAAACACCAAAAAAAAACATTATAGTGCTTAAATTATCGATGAAGAACACAATTAGAAATTTTGACTATAAAAAAAAAACTTTTTTTTAAAATACAGTAACACGCTACAACAATATTCGAACACTCATAGATTCGAATTACGGTATTATAAAGTCATGTGAAGTCCTCGGTTTTATATGATTCGCAGAAAAAAAGGTGGCCGCACTGAATTAAATTCGCATATATAGGCCATAAAAAGTCACCGAAATATTCTGATTAGAAATTCATAGAACGTAAAATATGAGCAAGGTTGAAAAAAATTTGAAGCGAAGCTCCGAAAAAATCCGAAAGGTCCAAGTTATATTAAAGTGATCAACTATTAAATGATTCGCTTTACTATAAATTTGTTAAGGTGCCCGTAAAACCGATTCGCTTAGTTATGAAAAATACATATGAGAACGATTATAAAAAAGATTTTATTACATGTGATCGAAAATATTTTGATTTCTATGACTATCGCTATTTAAATTGAGAAATAAACATCTCTTCTTATGTCGGTCGGTATTATTTCGGAAAGTGCCGGCCCAGCCCGCAAATTTGCGGATTTAGTCCGGAACCCTAAGACCAGAAAAAAAAAAGCCATACGTATAAAATATCCAGGGATATTCTATCATACTTATGTAGTGTTAGCGCAAATCAAATAATCATTTTGACCTATCGCTATATTGAGATAATTAACATATGTTAGTGCATTTCTACGTATAAGTACGTATTATCTTAATTAACTAGACTTACTTTTTAAAAAAAACGTTAACGTTAAAATAAAAATTACAGGGATGATTTTATATAAATAAATAAATATTATACGTACAAATATCGACAATAATAATAAATTTCCTAATTAGCTAAATCCGTCATTACTTGATTGATTGGTTGCACAACTATGTTTTTGCCTCACTAATTATAAAACTGCCGAAGATTCTTGCTAAGCCTCCTCAATCATTCGATCATTTCTCTCTTTATTTTCTTCATGTGTTACGATAAGAGTTACCGAATCATCTCTTAATGATAAAAATTGTAGTTTCGCTTTTAGGATTTACAACTTATACTTGAAACTAATATTTCATCAGTCATGGTTTTAAACATTTTCAAACTTTTAGTATTTCTTACGTTCATTATTAATTTCCTATTCCTTGTTAATGCATCTCAATTAGTTAAAGGAATTCATTTTGATCGGTAATGAAAAAGATAAAAAATACAATACAAAAAAAATTTTTATATTAAAATTAATTCATTCTTTTAATTACTTTTATTCAATTAATTTTTAAAGGATTATAACAATTGTACTAGGAAATTCCAATTATGATGATTCCATGAATGATCCTTACTTGGTTTACCTTGTATATATTCTCATTTATTTTCGTTCATTTATTTCCATGAATTATCATTCAAATTTTTTTTTTTTTTTTTGCTAAATTAAATAGGCTAATCAAGGAATGTTACTTTCAAATTATCATGGAATTTGGCATCCTTCTCAACCAAACTACATAGCGATGATTCGATCATCAAAAAGTGGGGTGGTATGTGTGAACTGCTCATAATAAATTAAAACAAATTCATCTTTAATTTGATCGATATATTTTAGCTTACAGATTTTAATCAAGACGTAGAAGGTGCCTCACTTCCGGATTTATTGGAAAATAAAGGAATTTCATGGAAGGCTTACATAGAAAATTATCCTGGTAACCTTTATATCGATTTTACCAATTAGTTCATTTCTAATTTCGTATTAAATAATACTTTTTTTATTTTTCTAATATTTATGCATATGACGGATAGGAAATGGATTCAGCAATAGTGAATCCGATGATGGACTTTATGTTCGGAAGCATAATCCGTTTATTTCGATGAATCAAATTCGAACGAATTCTTCAAGATATATTTATATCGTGAATGCCAATTCATTGAAGAAAGATATTGAGGATGGAACTGTTCCACAATATGTCTTTTATTCGTAAGCTTATTTTAAACTATATGGTGAAAAAAATATTATAAATTTTAATAATAATTTTTACTATATTATTTATATTTAATTAGACCTAATGTATACAATGGTGGTCATGAAACGGACTTAAATCATGCCAGTCAATACCTCAACAACACATTTATTCCATTAATTCAGTCATTATTAACTAATTCTAGAACACTATTAGTTATAACATTTGATCAATCTAACTTGCTTCTAGATAGTTTAACAAATTATAATCATATTTATACGGTCCTTATAGGACCAAACGTGCTAAAGTCTATGAAACATGAAGATAGTGATAGATATGATCACTATAGCTTTGTACCAACTATTGAGCTGAATTGGAACTTATCAACTTTAGGAAGCGGGGATGATACGAGTTCAATACCCTTTAGTGAAGGTATATTTTTAAATATTAGTGTCTCATAAATTTCATAAGTTTGATATTCCAAAACAAAAAAAGTACGATAGATTTGTTTTTTTTTTTCTTAGATATAATTAATAAGTTGTTGCATTTTATTTTGTTAATATGTAAATCTGACAAATAAAACTTTTCTTGAAATAAATTATCATTTTCATCATGATTATATACAAGAGTGCAATTACCTTTTTTTTTTTTTTTTAACTACAATGGTTATTGGTTCTCGTTCAGTTCCAAAAGTACGCACATTTAGTTAGTATATTTATGGTGTGGTTTTTGTACTTTGGCTTGGTATTCTACCATTAAGCAATAAATTTACGTGATCACGAATAATTTGATTCCTAGAAGACAAGGAAATCTTTTATTGAATGTTATATAAATAAGGGTTACCTCTTTGAGTAAACCTGAGATCTTTCTATCTATCATTTTAGTAAATATAAAAATCATTAATTCATCAATGAACTAAAATAGCTATTTTAAGATCATTAATTCGTTAATGCCACTACGTACAAAATTTTCATAATTTTATACAGTAAGAATTTACTATGATTAAGAGCAAATATTGTTAATTCACTGATTAGTCTTTTTTTTCAATTTATAAATTTCTAGTTCTTTATCTTGAGTCTTAAAAAATTTATTATTTATTTCTCGTGTGGAGATACAAGTAAATGTCACAAGGTTTTCGTTTAAAATTAAATTTTAATTAATAATATCTGATATATAATAAACTATCAATTCTTGGTATTTTTAATGCTAAGGCGACTTAAAATTAAAACTTCGTTTAACGTTATCCCCCCTCTCTGCTTACGGGTCTCCACCAAAAAATTAAACAATTAATCTCGAATTAAACAAAATTTTGAAACAGACCGGTAAGCTAGACAAACGATCTACATTAAAGACGAGCACGTATTATTTGGTTATAACTTGAACCTAATTTTGGATCATTGAACCTGATTTGGATCATTTCCCTCCTCCCCCCCCCCCTGCACTAATACAAAAAATTAACGTTAAACGAAGTTTTAATTTCAAGTCGCCTAATGCACTGTATCTACGATCATATCACTTAAATTTTTTAATTAAAAAAAAAAAAAAAAAAGTATTAAAGAAATATTTAGTAACTAGCAGAGGTAGATCTATATTTATGAAAAGTTTTTTAATTCGAAGCTGATATATGTATATATTTTACATTGAGAAGACCTAACATACTCTCCGAAATATAATATATTGTAACTTAATAACATCACTTTCTATAAATGCATTGCTCATGTCCTGTAAACGTAAGCCTGCGAGATTTTGAGAGTTTTAGTGTATAGTTAGGCCAGTCCAATTTAATTCGGTGGTTTGAAAGAGGGGGAAAGGGAGGTTTTTAAGGGTTTACATAGTAAAATTTTACCATACTATATAAATTTTTTCCAAAATAACTCATAGTCCTTAGTGAGGGAGCAGAGGAAGGGGGAGCAATGTAAGCCATTAACTGGCCTTATGGTGCCATCGCTTTTACATCGCTATATATAGTGTGTACGGTACTTATTTTATATGCAGTATTTATAATTACGTAGTCGCATTATCTAATTAGGTTTTTTTCTAAAGTTAATAGATTGATATAAAATTCATAATTAAATAGAAATAGTAAAGTTTTAGAATATTAGAACTGGTTTTGAAACCTAGTTTTTAAAAATTAAGGTTTAATTTAAATATTAATATTTTTCTTACAAGTATTATTAAAGTATTATACGTACGTATACGTAGTAATCTTTATGTTCATAATTACTATATATAGTATTTTTTTATTATACGTATTTAATAGTACTGTATTTATTGTTATTATTATTAATACAGTATTTATTGTTATTATTAATACAGTATTTATTGTTATTATATTATTAATACTATATTTTTTTTAAAAAAAAATTTTTATTTTAAGATCAAGATAAGGTCTTGTTTTTATCTTTATTAATAATTATATAGTTAAGAGTTAACAAAGAACTACTTAGTTATAAATTACATACAAGAATTATTAATACTATGTTTATTATTAGATTATTTTGATTTTTTATTTTAAATTTTAATAAAACTTTAATTTTTTTAATATTACTATATAATTTACTTATAAGTTACTATTTAAATACTTTAGTTATATAGATATAATTTATATTACTAAATTAAATAATTACTTATTAGCTTTTAATATTTAATTTTTTTTTATTAATTTAAATCTTCTTAAAATACTATTATGTATTTATTTGGCTAGCAAAGTTTTAAAGTAGTTCATCTTAAGACAAATCTATTAAAATAATTTATATTATATTTATATTATATATTATCTAGATTTCTATAATATTTATATAGCTTTAGTTATAGTTTTTTATATTTTTATTCGTATAATATTTTGTATTCTTTAATTAGTCAAATACTTTCAAATTTAGTTAATTAATAAATCAAATTAGTACTAAAGTAATATACTTTATAAATTAATTTTATTTATATCCTTAATATTCAAAATTTTTTAGGTTTACTAATATAATTATCAAAATTATACTATTTTACTTACTACTTAGAATTATTATTATAATGCTTCAAGTTACTTCACATAATACGTCAAATTCAGTTATATATAGATACTTTTTAGCTAATCAGAATGCATTATACATGATACTAATTCTGATTAAATAAAAAAAAAATTAAAAAAAATTTTTTTGAAATTTTTATATTAAATACCAAAATTTTGAAAGCATGCTAGCTTTAAATACTTGTAAATTTTAAACTTTTTTAAAAATTCTAACAAAAAAAATAGTTTTTATCAATTATATTTTAAAAAATATTTAAAAAAATATATGATTTTTGATAAGAAGTCACTTGGAGCACCATATATAGATCTTCTAATTATAAATTTTATCAAAATTTATTTATATAATATATAAATATAATAATTCTAATAAAAGATTGTATATTATTAGAAATTAGCCAAATATAAATACGTATTTGCTAAACTTTAGTTTGTTGAAAAATGATACGATAGCAAACTATAGACCTAGACTATCGGAATAGATAGTTATATCTACCAAGAAATAACTAGTTAAACTTGAAAAATGATACGTATTAGATACTGATAAGTTGATTTTCGACTACAATTGCTTAAAAAGTAAAATTCAAGTAATAACTTAGTAGCGCAAAAAAAATTCAACAAATCAACCGAATTCTGGTCCAAGCAACTTTTAAAGTGGGGTGATGAATTATTAGTAAAATTTTGAGTAGTTATTCTATATTTATTAGAATAAAGTCCGATCATTACGTATAGCGATAGAATATTTAATCAATATTTAACAAATAAAAAAAATATATTTTTAATATAATTTTTAATTTTGACTACGTACGTATTTTTATTTTTATTTTACTTACTATCAAAAATAGTAAACTATTTTATTGCGGCTTATAATTTCTAAAAAAAGGATGCGTTGTATTACTTTTAGTATTTTATATTGGTCACCTGAATTCATCACTATAATAACTTGGCATCGAATGATTTTTTACCTGCTTTACCAGTTTTAACATACGTATAAAAAAAAAAAAAAAATCATTCAATAGATCTATTTTTGTTTTCTCCAAAAAGGTTAAAAAAATTTAGTATTTAATATTAAAGTTAATTATGTATTAAATATTAGACTTACTTCAATAGTTAAAGGCTCATTTGCACTTTATATCATAATTTTTTATATAAGGCATAACTAAGTGACATTATTAACCAGCGCCTACACAATGTTATATCAAATTCCGACAAAAAATATTTAGATATTTTTTATGCAGAAACTATCAAAAGTACAATTTATTAGTTAATAAACTTTATACTCTCTTGATACAAAGATTCATGATATCTTTAAGTCAATCACTACTTTTAAATCAAAGATTAGATTGGTATTAGAATGCGATGCTGTCATATCTAATACGTTAGGGATTATAAAGATCTCTTTGTAAGCCTCTTTTATAGAGGATTTCATTGATTTTATGTTTTCTATATTTACAATTTTTTTTTTTTTTTTTTAAAAAAAAAAAATCTTCAAAACTTTTCACTAATACATATTCTTAAAAAAAAAAGCATATCGACATTTACTTGGCATTTTACATCTTTCACCATCAATTATCAATCGATATATTGTTTTTAGTAAAAAAATAAAACCTTGATTCATTACAAACCTTAATATGTCCGAAAAATTTTCTCTTCTTATTATATACTTTCAATTACTCCCTCACAAGATAAGAAAATCCCTTATAAAATGTAAAAATAAAGTTAATACAGAAAAAATGAAACATTCTTCTGAACCGATTGATGATCATGATGAGCAGAATTTGGATTTTGATATAATATTTGACAATCCACATCTCATTCGTTTATACAATGAATTTGAGAAAAAC